CACACACACACACACACACACACTGCACTCCTCTGGAGTTTTATTTTGCTAATTTCTTCATTTTCTTTAATTAAAAATGATCCTACGATGTGAATCTTTACAGATTTAATAATAAATTCAACATTAAAACCACCTGCAGACAGAAATCCTGCTGAAACACTTCCTGCTACAAAGCACCGCCCATTTGTACAAAGCTCCTCCCTGGAGCTCAGTCTGCTCAGCCTCCCTACAGACCACCCCTCCCACAAAAGCACTGTTGTGAAGACATGCTGAAGTGGGAGTGTTGGAAACGGTAGGAGGCCAGTTTCAAGGTGTTTAGACTGTGATGCTAATAAAAATTTATTTTTGATAAAAATGGCATTTTTCATAAAGTTTACTTGGTTTAATTAATTAAAACAAAACTGAACCGTAACACAAACACAATGTTATTATAATGAAAAAAGAAAAAGAGCAGAAAGAATGAAAAATATCTTATAACATCTGCCCCATTTAACAAGAATATATATATATATACTGTATTACACACACCCCTTCATACATATACATAACTGAAGAATTCAAACCCTAACTCTGCATTTCTCTCTCAAATTAATTCAACTTTTAGGTTTAACAAACATTTCAAATCCTTTAAGATTATAAATACTTTCCCGCTTAATAAAGTTAGATTGAATATTCAAAACATTAACAATAATTTTCACAACAACTGAAGGTAAAATAGTTACTTGATTGATGCAGAATTGAATTATGTGCATGGAGAAAACATAATACTGCCCCTTTAAAAACAAACATGTCAAAGCTTTAAATGAAATCTGTCTTTGTAGGGAAGTGAGGGCAGAAAGCCTCAGCCCAGTGAGCTGAACTGGGCCTGGTTACATAAAAACCAGTTATAAAAGAGATGATGTGTGTACAGAGTAAACATTAGATTAGCTGGTTTCTGTTCAGGACCTGCAGGAGAGGAAGTCTGGGTCCAACCAGCCAAGTTCTGGGAAACAGAACAATTTACAGACATCTAAAAGCTCCAACAGGACAATGAGGCAAAGACAGGAGGGGTGAGAGACTGGGAACACTGGGCAGGTTGTTAGAAAGACATGTGGTCCTCACAGAGAGGTTAATCCTCATCCTGATGAAGACTGTGAGTCTGGGTTTAATGTTCCTCACAGCTTCACACAGTAACCTGACCCCTCCCTGCTGCCCAGCACACCTGACAGGTAACATGAAGTGCACACTACCTGTATGGTGGCAGGAACCTGAACCTGAGCGCACACACAGCCAGGTGCACCACAGTGAGCACAAAGCATGGCAGTGTGTGTGTGAACAGGCCCACAGCACAGGAAGATGCTTCAGTTTCACCTCAAATCATCTTTAATGAGCTGAAAGCAGACAGGTGAGGTGGTGAACAGGTACGACTACTGAATCTGTGCTTCTTAAAGAACAACACAAACAGACAATATAAACCACAGAGGACATCATGTTTGTGTCTGCTTCATCAGCATCCTGTGGTTCTCCTGAGCGGTGCCTCAGAGACGACAGGTGCAGCTAACATCACAACAGACTCTCTTTGACCCAGGTTCTGTCCTCTACGCAACGACGACAACAGCAGTGCACTGTTTTGGTTTTTCTTTACACAACCTCACAAACTCCTTCATGCATCTTTGACCTCTGCAGCTCTACAAATAAAGTTTAACTGGGAAGTTGTGTCTGAGACCAGGAAACATTTGTTCAAAGAGCAAGTCCACAAAAGTCCCCGAGCGTCACCCCCCCCCCCCCCCACTTATTAATGAGGGCAAAAAACTCGTTCTTTTAACAACAGTTCAGTTCTGTGGAAAGATTATGAACGATAAATATCTTACCTGCTGTAGATAGCTCGTTGAGCCACCTCAGTTTGAAGAAACAGTTTAGTTCTGGTCTGCAGCCGTCTATAAACAGCTTTACTCTAAAAACAATGTTATCGCACTTTATGCAAATAGATTTTCAGAAACATTTACACCACTTTATATTTGCATTACAGCATTATTTATGTAAAACTTTATAAACAGGCTGCAGCAGCGCAGTTTGTGTAATAAGAAGTTGGCAGCAATGGAATTTTGCACGAGGTGCTAATTTTCAGGATCGGATATATATACTGTATATTTTTGTTTGTTTGTTTATTTTTATTTTATTTATTCATTTTATTCATTTACCTAAAAAACAAAAACAAATTCTATATTCAACAAAATACAATCACAAATTAACTGAAAGTTAGCAGAAGAAGAAAAAGTCTTATTATATCTGCTCCTTTTCTCACTAAACAAATTCAATCAAAAAATAATCTTCAAATACCAAACACAAAACAAAAAACATACAGAGAAAAAAACTAAACTAAACTAAACAAAAAGAAAATCAATAAAGGTTTAACTTCTATTTTAAGTCAGCATCAATCCACTTTGGTCTTGGTCCAACTAGATTGATCAGAATTAAACCGTTTTCTCCAAACTGAGGCAGTTCAAAGAGCTATCTACAACAGGTAAGATATTAATTGTTCATAACCTCTCCACAGCTCCCCCACTTTAAAAGATCTGAATGATTAAACAGGTAAAAGATGGTGAAAAAGCTTAAAGTCTAAACTCAGACGACACCTGATGAACACGTTCAGCCTCTCGGGTCGTTTCAGGTGAGCGACACGTCGCTGAGTGACAGGTCAGGTATTTTTATTGGGTCGAGCGAAGTGAGGCCGTGACGTAAACAGACGTGTTCCCGACGTGTAAAAACTCAACGGATAATAAAAATAAAACGTCTTTTTATGAAACTGAGTCATGGAGTGAGAGAGACATGATCTGTGAAAACCAGGTGTTCTCCAGCATTTTCCAGTCATTTCACTAAGTTATGTGTGTGTGTTTGTCACGTCTGGCCCCTTCCCAGCCGGTGATGTCAGACCCCCCCTACACACACACACACACACATGGTGACAAACAATGAGCGAGGACATGTGGAATGTGCTGCCTGGATGGATCACTGTGGCGCCTGTTAAAAAGTGCAGGACTGAAACCAAAAGCACCAAAAGTTCCAAACAAGTTACATTTATTATGTTTAAACTGAATCTTTGTCACAAATAAACACTTTTTATTCCCGAGTCAGCGCTGGCTGTTCCCTCAAGTTGCATTTTAACCACAGTCCCTGACTTCCTGGTCACAATACGACACATTGTGCTCCTGTGGAGTCGGCACATTCCTCAGACTCGTCTCTCAGAACCATTTATGGAGATATTTCAGGTTCACACTGTGATAATTACACACATCATTCTTCTTATGTGAGCCTGGCTGGAACCAGCAGAGATGTAAATACTGAAGGCGCGGGTTATTTGCCTTTGATAAGGCTAAACACGAGCTGCGTGTGACGCTGATGCAAAGTCGTGTGTTTAAAAGTGATGACAGGTGAAAGGAGGAACAAACGCAGCCTGAATAAACACAGTTTGTTGCCTCGCAGCACATTCCTCTGCTCAGGTGAGCAGTGTGTAAGGTGTGTGACAGGTGTTGCCCTTTGCTCACGCTGGACTCTTTAGCACAGTTTTACCAGAGGAAAGTGACAGTTTACTGTCTGTCGCTCCTGAAACTGCCAGGTGGGGATCTGACAGACCAATTTGACATTTTCAGATTTAATTACATTTAAAAAGGACTGCTAACACCAAATAATTTTTATTTAAAAAAGAGTGAGTTTAATGTACTTAATAATGGAAGAAATTAGCATAATAAATGTGAGCCATCATATCGAAATGAGTATTAAGTCAAATTAGGTCAAAATGACCTAATTACATTTTCAGATTCTTGTCTTTAAAAGCTACATTTTGATACCTGGATCATCCTGATATCATAATTAAATCCATATATATGACTTAATTTGTCTTGTTGGTTACAATACATTGTAGGGGTAACCCTGGTGAAATATTCATTTCTATTTTTTGTCTTTGATTTTATTTTACAC